TCTTCCTCTTGTACAATGGGCATAAGTGCGTAAATCTGCTGAACCGTTGTTGTTGGCACTAAGAACTCCTTGTCCCATAAGCCGATGCCATAGAAGTGCACTATTCAGTATTCAGAAAACAAAATTCAGGGCTCTATTGTATCAAGTAAAAGAAAATCCTTCTTCAATACTCCCGCCTATGCTTTACCTGTAGTAATCTGGGTTAGGAACAAATGAGGTTCTGTTGAGAAGACCGTAGTTCCCGCCAACTAGAGACTGCCTGCAATATACTCTGGTATTGTACTTCGCTGACATTCCGAGCTGATCCAAGTACCTAAAGTTCATATGTAATATTTATTCTGGTTAGTTGATTGAACAAAATTACAGTCACCAAAGGCGAATAGCTCCTTTCTGCAATCAAAAGCTTGCAATGGCTAAAGACACGATGTTGCAAGTAATGTGGCAATCAAGATTATTACCAAAAGCTGTTCACATATGTGTCAGACACATTACGACCACCGCTGTTATAGGCCCCTCCAGATTCACCAACCCATATAGAAGCCCAAGGACCGTTCTTTTTCACAGTTTGTTCAAGATCATGGAATGACCCATATGCACGGTCCAGGTAATGGGGATCCAATATTTTTTTCACCAACGTGGGATCAACACCTGACAATAGAACAAAATACAGTCTAAGCATATATTATACAATTATAAACTGCGCATTTATTAAAAGTTTAACACGCTAATTTACCTGCACCCAAATTGTAGAGATGCTGAGAGATGATATCGACTGTGCCAGAACCAGAAACCTGAAGAAGCCTAGTAAACCACGATTGGTCAAAGAATCCTCCAGGCGCCATAAGCGCAGGTTTAGGAACGGACTCATTGTACAGATGGTTGATGATGCTTTTAAGCTTGATCAAATCTCTTCCGTATTGTCCAGCTCCAACACTAGCTTCAACACCACTACCACTGAGCTCATTTCCTACAGCAAAATAAACAAAAGCTTAAGTGAAGCAAAACACAGAACGATGGGGAAGAAAACAAGATTTGTCTATAGTTTCATACCAAATTCCCATGAATCTATCTGGTATCTCTTTGAGACGGTGTACTTAATAAAATCATAAGCATTGCTAGAGTCCCAGTCTCCTACCCAAGCTCCCCCGCCTTTGTGGTGCCTCCCCAACAGTGCATTCAAGCTAAATGTGATGATGGACCTAAAAAGGCAAGATAAAAATCACAGGTAAGACCACAAGTAAGCTTGGTAGAAAACCCGGCTTTACTTGTCTTCAAATATTTGGTTGGTTGTGGTGGAGGTTGATAACTTGAATCTTACCTTGTTTTGCTGAAAAATTGGTTCAGCTCATCCCATCTACTCATAGTTAAACATCCTCTAGAAAAACCGAACAAGCCACCTTTCATCTTTCTGAAAGGATGGCAAGGATATTTCAAATTTCCAACATCGTACAATAGTTGGTCTTCCAAGGAACCTCCAATTCTGATTCTCAACTGATCGAAAGCTATCAAACCACCGGTATAGAAGAGTAATTCAACAAAATGTTATTCTAACAAATATAACTAGAAGACTCTATCTGTTCTAACCGACGTGAAAGTCTAATTCAAAAACTAGTATTCTGTAAAGGATGCGAACTTATTAACACGAACAGACAAACCTTGGATTGACTTGGCTAGCAAAGGATGAGATAAGTTCTGGAGAAAAGCAAACCACATTAAGTTTTAGTTTAACTTCAAACTGCCTTGCTTACTATTTGACATGCAGGGAAAAAAAAAAACTATACAGAGGTATCTCCGACTGTTTACCAAATTTAATGCGGATGCATTTCCCCATGGACAGTGGCCGTAGTCACACTTTTCATGGTTCCACCAATCAATAGTGGCACAGACAAAGTTATTGTCAACTTGTGCAACAGCTAAACTGCCGTTAACCACAACCTTAACATTTTCAACATTGTTAGTTTTCCCAAAATCTTGAGCTAAAATTGCAGGGAGAGAAACCAGAAAGAGGACCAAGGAGAGACGGAATGCCATTGGAAATTCAGTTGCAGCAATCTCGCCACCAGCTCAGCCAATTTAAATTAACTGCAACAGGAGAAAGATAAACCTTTGAGAAGCAGAGAGCGTGTCGCGCCACCGCTTGACATGTTCCTAAAATACATGATTCTCCGCTGCTATATATCTTTAAAATTCCAGAAGCAAAAACTTCTGATAGAAAAATATCATTGTAAGCAAAAAATTATCATTGAAAACTGCAAAAGAGAAAGAAAGGCATCATCTTTCGGACGAGAAAGTAAAGGTAGTTTATACATTCCTGTTTTCTTGTAAAAAGAGATTTCGGGTTCTGAGGAAGATCCAGTGACAGTTAGTTCACTGGTAGTTCCAATTTCTTGTGTATATACATATATATTTGTGAATCAGAACACCACCAAAGCCAATTCAAACTAGTGGATGGTAAATATATGCTTGAAAATGGTTGCATTGCCATAAATGAACTTTTATTCGAATTAATTGTTGTTAACTGCTGTAAAAGAAACGCACCAACATTTGAAAGTTGCATTAGGTGAAGAGAAAGGAAGCGATTACCAAATTCAGATCTCAAATTCAAGCTATTACATCAAGACACTGATATATATACACACATACACACACACACACACATATGAAGAAGAAGGGCATTTCACCGACAAAATTCAAGACAAATATACACAACCCTATTAAGAATTATCACAAACAAAACCAAAAAAAGCAGCTTTTCCTTGGAGAGTTCAGATTTCAAGGACAAATCAGCATGTGAAGAACTAATATTTGATCATAACAAGGCAAACCCTTGTCCAAACCAAGCTCAAAGATTAAAAATTTACCATCAACGACGCCATTGATGAAGCTCGAGCTGGAAGCAAAAGCACATCAATTATGTGATGCTTTGCAGCTAATCAAACGAGCTATCTCTGTCCCCACTCGGAGTTGTTGGCAGCCGATTCAAAGACATGGAAACTTCGTTTGGTGAGATGGGTCCGTCTTGGATAATTGGAATTCAGCTAAAAGTCTTGGATTAAGCTGCATATGAACTGTTCATATCATGTGATGCAATGGCACACTGTTGCTGTCTACTGTCGGCAAAAAGACAAAGAATACATAATTTTACAGGAAAGGTTATGATCGTACAGAGTTAATGATAATTAATTACTAAATACTAATTAGAGGTGAAAGTGAGAGTTTTGGTTGGATTTGCGTGCAATTTTTATTGGCAGATACTCCTCTCAGTCTGTTGAGTTATCTTTGTTTATTAGCCGATATTCTGGAAGGTAGGTTTTTTTTATTTTTGTTATTTTTTTTTATTAAATTTTCTTGAGAAGCTTAAACTTTACCCCGTAAGCAATGCCACCACAAAATGTTCTTCTCTTAGAATAAAGGTTTTTGCTTTTTTGTTTTAGGGAATGTTTTTAAGTTTTTACGATTTGGATCCTAGTTAGGTTGTTTTGGGATTTGTTAATACACCAAATTAGTGAGACTTTTTAGTACTTAATTTAATCATGATCACATCGTCATCGTCATCTTCTTTTTATTTTCCCTTATAATTTGTAGATTATGAACTTTTTAGTACTTAATTTAATCACACTTGGTCATAGAATCTTTATCAGTGGTGCAACTAATCCAAGATGGTCACATTTGCACTGTGTTTCATCCAAAAAACGGAAATAATGATGCATATTAATTAAAATTACAACAATATTATCAGCTTCGTCTTCCCTTTGCACCACTGCCCTTCTCATCGGTTTTCATGGACGCGAGCGGAAACTGACTGAACCGATGCTTTAGCAAACGGGCTGCATCCGAGAAGGCTTCCCTTGGTTCCACGACAGTTTGACAATAACAAACTACAAAGTACAAGATAATTACATCAAGCTTTATTAACACTAATCTATTGGTCACTAATTACATAAGATTTAGAAAACCTCAGTTGACATCCGCAGCTGATGAAGAACAAATGAAACTTTTAATAACCGGATGCAGAGGCTTGGTCTCAACCCCATGATCACCTCCTCCAACAAAACGCCCCACCACTTCCACGCCCTTTCCTTCCAACATCTTCACCACCTCCATCTGACGGTCAACCAGTAAGTCCCCATCACATCCAGTCAACAAAACCCTAAATCCAACCGCCTTCAATTGATCCAACTTCTTAATCAAACCATCCCCACCATCGGATCGCAATACTCGTGGTCACGGTCAACCCCAACAGGCAACCACAGCCCCCACATTATACCGCTACCACTCAGCGGCAACTTGGGTTACTGATAGGTTTCGAGGATTGACACAAACAGGACCAATTCTAATGGATTCAACCGTTATCAAAGCAGCTGTTAAGATTTATCCTGAATACTAAGTTTTCGTACGTACTATCAGGTCCTTCATAATTGAAGAAGTTTACGCTAGAATTACCAAGTGCTTGAAAAGTTGAAACCCCAAAAACAAGCAAACACAGATGCTTCTCAATGTTTGAGAATGAAGTAACCCTAAACCCAATAACACACATCTACTTCTTCTCCAATTAACTTCCAACCTTTGATTCATAGATTTAACTATATTTTAAGCTGTTGTTGCTTGGTTACTCTGGTGGGCCTGCAGAATCCATTGTTGTTGTTATACTATTCTCATCCAACAGAGATTTTACAGTGTGCTGGGAATAAGGTCTGGTACATCAAGTGTCATAATATAAGTGGTTGGATATATTGTATACTTGAAAAAAATCTCTAACCACTTTTATTATGACACTTGGTGTACTGTAATGTGTTCCCGGCACACTAAAAACTTCTCTATCCAATGGAATAAGGACAGCTAGCTGCATGGAATGAGAATATGCTATGATTGGTGAGTCCATTCTTGGGTTTCCATTCCATTTCCCTTCATCAAACTTCAAGATCACTACTGCATCTTCAATATAGAAAAGTGATTTCCGTGTACCCCTTTACTTCACCGTGCGTTTATGTTCATTATTAGTATTCAAACTGAAGAAATGAAAAGATATAAATAAAGAAGGATGTGCAGAAGAAGAAAAAGGGAATGAGGAAATCACTTTTCTGAATATGATATAACATTATGAAGGAAAAAGAAGACCATATATTTGAAAATGGAAGAAACTTGCTAGTTTAGGTTTTTGTGCATGTGCTTTTGTGTTGTATTCGGGTAATATCCTTTGCTTCCTTGTCCATGGATTCATGCAAACTGCAAAGCATAACTTTTTCTTTGCTTTGCTTCCTTGTCTCTCCCTGTTGGTGACCAAAATTCTGATATAAGTAATAGTATCACAGCCTTTGCTTCTAGTTTTCTCGGCAACCAAACAGTAATCTACTTGTAAACCAGGAAGTTCGAGAGCTAGGAATCAACGACATAGGTTTCTACAGAAAGAAAGCGGCCGCCAACAAACAGAATCTGTATAACTAGGTACTAATTTGCATACTCTTCTACTATATTTCCTTATATGTATGCAGTTAAACTTGACAAATATTTGTCGAAAATATATTTCATGTAACTGAAAACAGAACTTTTGTTCAATTATGTGGCTGTTTATTGGAACACAGAAAACTAAAGTTACATGAATACTAAAGAAACTCTTAATGACATTTTTTTGGTGAATAACAGGGGCAAAACTGGTTCCCGGGCCTGTTTCTCAGAGAAAATGAGTCATTATACTGATGCACAAGATATCGAGCTTGCAACAGCCGTTGCATCAGCTGCGTTCGCCATTCACTCCAATGAAGAACCTAAATTACAGTATCGAAAAGGGACGAGGGAAAGCATTCCGATCCCAAGGACCAAGAGTTTGCAGGACATGACGACTGGGCGACCAAACAAGGAAACAAGGAATAATGGTACTTGACTGCATACATCATTAATTTTTTTCGTGATAATATGTTTCAGAGAATTAACAGGTTGTATACATAGTAGATGAAGTTTCAAGGAAAAAGTCAATGGATCAAAGAGAACTTCCATCTAGGTACCCTAATCGGGCATCCTCTTCAAGACCTTCGACTCCTGGAAATGGATACCAGAACCAAAGGGGAAGTTCAGTCGGACGTAATGATGTGGAAACAAAACCAGATGCTTGGGAGAGAGCTCAGATGAAGAAGATTCAGAGGCGGTAAAGACTACTTGCTTTATATTTATGTTAAGGAAACGATTTCTGCACACCCCTTTCCCCCTTTTACACGTCCTTACTATTTATAACCCTTGATTCTGAGGGGAAAAGGCATGTGCGGAAGTCATTAGTATGATAGAAGACGAATTCAGTTACTTCCTTTTGAAATGGTAAATTATACTATTCAGGTATGAGAAAGTGAAGGCTACAATTGTTGCTTGGGAAAATGAGAAGAAAATGCAAGCAAAAGCTAAGATGGAGAGGAGAAAGGTACGTTGCAATGATTGTTGTTTTTTTTTAATTCAAAGTTTGAGGAACGCCAATGAAGAAGATCGCTGAAATAATGTGTTGATTGCAGAATGAAATTGAGCAGAGAAGAGCAAGAAACATGCAGCATTACCAAATTAAGCAAGCAAGAATTGACCAGATAGCAGGAGGAGCAAGGGCACAAGCGGAAGAGAAACGAAGAAATGAAGAGTCGAAAGTGAAAGAAAAGGCGAAAAGGATTAGGTCAACAGGCAAGGCTCCTGCTACATGCTTCTGCTTCACTTGTAACTAGAAAGTTAATCAGCCACTTGATTTTCTGTTCTGCTGATAATTTGTGTATATTAACTACAATACGGGCATCGATCCTACCTTATTTTAATTTGTACATGATGTATAACATTAGTTGTTTGTTGAATCTGTTCATCCAATAAAACTATATATGGCTCTTTCGATTCAAAGACTCGGCACAAAAGATTTTGCAGGCACGAAGAATTAAGTAGGTACCGATTCAACCATAAAGCTGCTACTTCCTCTCAAATGCTCAAACATTACATAGAAATATTTGTTACAATTTTGCCTCTATAGGTATGGAAAGTACTGAGACAAACTCAGTGTGAATAAAGAGGAAAGAACAAGGTCCAAGATTTTGATTTGGATCGATGCGAGTCACGCGACACGGAAGTAACGCTTCCCTCATTTTGAGGGCAAGGGCACGACAGCTGGTCCATCTTATTGATTGATGAAATTACTCTAAACTCTAAACCAGAAACCCAAAAATTACCCCGACCGCAAGATAGCTGAATCCGCCCAAACGACATTGTTTCCAACAGCTACCTCCTCGTCACACCTTGCCCTTATACTTTGGACAGTTATTTTGTGTGCCCCTAATATGTTCATCAAGTTATAAAATATGCATCACATACTGCAGCAAAAGTAAATTGTTAGTAATCTGGTCGGAAATCATTTCAAATAATTTATACGACACAACATTAGCTTCCGTCAGTCTATCTGTGCATCACATACTGCGGTCTCTTCACGTCGAGCATTGTTGTTAACTTAAGCCAGATTTATCAAGAGGTTGGAAGCCAACCAAGTTCGAGTTTTCGAGTTTTCGCCACCCTAGCTTTCGCCCCTTCATGTAAGTCTCTCTCATGGTTAAGCATGACTAACTTTAAGTGGACCAGAATGTGAAATCAAATCACCATCACAAGGCAAGCTCTGTCTGCTAAAAGAGCTTAATGATTCAGAAAATCCAAGAGGAGAAAGATAAAGTGTTCCTGGAGATGGAGCAAAGTGTCCCCAGTTGCCATGGTTATGTTAGACATAAAACAAAATGTGGCCCTATTTGTCAAACTAATCACTCATCTAGGCTACTCTAGCTAGCTAGTAGAGTGTCAGAAACCAGATCATCGATGAGACGGAGAGAAAATGAAAGACGTTGCTTGTCCAAATTCGACCGGTTAATGGCTCCAAGCCCGAATCCCCGTACACATTGATTATGTGTAGTTTAAAATATCGTATTGTAAAAAAAGATCTCATGAATTTAGGTCAAACCTGAATAAAACTTGTGCAAGGCTCATATATTTTATTAGCACACATATATAACTCTGAAAAAATATGCACCAAATTCTTCAACCAGCTCGTTATTATTTTTAAACAACGTCTGATCCTTTTCTTTAACAAAAACGCATAGCAGGCTGCTAGAGATTTTTTATGACATGTAATCGCTAACAGCACAAGCGGTTGAAAACTCCGTCTTACCAACTAAATCTTAGCATGATGATTTAAAAAATTAAATTTATAGTCAAGTCACACCCCCACTATCAAAAAATGGACATAGATGACCGGTCACTCAATGACCAATATAACATCAAAAGGCCACGGACCGGTCATTGGCCGATGAATAAGGCCACGGATGACGCACACATGCATATATATACACAGACACACATAAAATATTCGTGTAAATTATTCTTGGTCTCAAGTTGCAGGATAAGATAGACAAAGAGAGGGAGATAGAGATAGCCATGGGAGGAGTGAAATTGTCAATCTTCAACCAAAACGGATCTATCAAATTTAAGGATTTGGATCCTCTCCTGAGCTTAAGGAGAGGATCCTCCTGACCAAGACACGTGAGTCGTTGGATGAATATCCAACAGCTATAATTATTATAACTTTAAAGGGATCCCCCTATTTGTAACCGTTGGATTTTCATCCAACGGCCCACGTGTCTTGATCAGGAGGATCCTCTCCATAAGCTCAGGAGAGGATCCAAATCCCAAATTTAATGTGTTCATAACTTGCATGACATATATGATTTAAATCAAACAAACAAGATGTTGTTTGAACTTTGAGGCACTGCAATGTGCAGATTGCCGACTTACCAGGGACTAATATGATTAAGGGATAAACTATATTTTCACCAATTTTAGTTTCCTCTCTCTTTAAGATTTCAAGAAATTGTGATTGAATTACGAAATTTTTGTTGAGAGTATTCTTCGTCGAAGGATGAAAAGTTTAGCATGATAACTTGGTATTAGAGTAGATTATCTATGTAAAATTAGTCATGTATTAAACGTAAAATACCGTGTAGGTGACTTGAGGTTGAGAGTATCCTACATGAAAGTAAAGTCACACGAAATGACTTGAAGACCCTTTATCTATATTAATTAGTCTAGGGCGATTGACATGAAATTCGCGTTGATGAAAATTTAGAGCCAACTATTCATGTGAACTATTCATATGTTAGGCGTATTAGACTCCATGCATAAACAAATTTTTGAGTATCCTACATTTTTTGTGAAAGTATACAACGTCACACGAAAAAAACACCAAGTGACTTTAAGACCCTAGATCTAAATTGGTCCAGGGGGGGGGCAAGCATATCTGGTTTTCTTCTCCATTCTTCTTATAGCTACCACATGTTTTGTGTAATATCTCCATCACAGCAATGTGAGTTTGACACAAAAAAGGGACCAGAAAGACAATGAAATAATAGAGAGAGTCCAAACTAACATCTCCAACTCATTCATTTTTCGATCGAGAGAGAGAGAGAGAGAGAGAGAGAGAGAGAACTATATAGAGTTCTAATTAGGAATACTATTACTATATTCAAAGGAAAGACCAAGAAAAGAACAAGTCGAAGGAGAAGAGAGAAAGTGCAGATATCCTCCTCACGTGTGCATGCATCATGCAGCAAGGGAACCAACCCAACGCCAGTCGTCTCGTCCCTTTGTAAGCACCACTGTTCATATTATTTTTTAATAAACCTTTGAATTTTTTGTTAATTATTAATGCAATTCTCTCTTAATTTCTGCCTTTTGATATGGAGTTTTTTTTTATTTGTTTTTATCAATGTGTATAATTAACCCAAGTTTGGTGTTTTTATTCTTGTTCAATGACATTTACACCACTAGAATTTAGAACAGTTTATATGCTTTTCTGTCACTCTAACCCTTGACTAAAATCTTGATGCACTTACAATCTTTGAGTTGGAAGCTATAATTAATCTTTTTTTTATAACAATTATCGTTCATTAGATTTTAATTTTGAAGCTCATCTAACAAAATAAAGACTGAATACTGCTAAATCAAATGATCATGTACATATTCAATTAATTTGTTTGGTTTTTCTTCCTACCAACAAAGCTTACCTTGATTTGATAACTTCTTTTAGTCTCAAACGTTGAATTTTTGGTCAATGTTTAGACATTATTATATATTCTTTTGTTTTTAATCAAAATATTTCATCGTATTATTAGGATTTGCATGCTGATTCACACATATGTACAGGTCTAATTATGATGTCACAGAGCTAAAATCGAAAAACGGCCGGTTGGGCATGCATGGGCTTGGTGGGCTTCTTCCCACAGCCCAAGCAAAGCCCATATGGAGCAGGAGCAGGGCTTGTGACACACTAGAATCAATTGTCGATCAAGCTACATGCCACAAACGTGACCCAAATATCATCCACCATGACCAGACACCGGCCAACATAAGCTCGATGATTGCATCCTCAGGCGAAACCTGGACCGACAGCTCTGTCCAGGTACCGCCGGCGCAAGGGTGGATAAGAAAACGCACTCGGTCAGATTCCGGCTTCTTTGAGAATAATTTTAGTAGTAAGACTAATAACATTCATGAAGAACATGCAGATCCCAGTAGAGTTAGATTGTGCAGGGACAATGATACAACTATGTCCACATTGGTTTCTTTTGAGTCTCCTCCCAGTTTGAAGACCAAAAGCATCGAAGAGGATTCGGCCTGTCACGGAGGACTGGTAAGATGCATGTACATATATATTCTTTGAGCGTCGTGCTACATGTATCACATATACTCATCATATCTCTCGCAACTTGTATCTTACATCTAGCAGAAAAACCGAGATGATGGCCGGGAAACCACCAAAGGTGGAAAATCAAGCCGTTCACACTCAACAAGACCAAGGCGAGCTGCTGCTGTTCATAATCAGTCAGAGCGGGTAACAATTTAATTTCGGTCACCCCAAAAGGAAAAGAATCCCTATCGTCTAATAATTCGTGTGCGAGAATCATTTCCCTAATTCAGACTAAATCCGTGTAGAAACGAAGAGACCGGATTAACCAGAAGATGAAAGCTCTGCAAAGGTTGGTGCCAAATGCAAGTAAGGTGAGAAAATTTGCTGAGTGCTTAATTATGATCATCATTAATTAATTTAATTTGGTGACAACATTATTTTTTGAATTGTTATGTGATTAATTACAGACTGATAAAGCTTCAATGCTTGATGAGGTGATCAAATACTTGCAACAACTTCAAGCTCAAGTCCAAATGATGCATAGTATGAGAAATTTCATGCCTAATGGCCATATGAACATGAATATGATGATGCCTTTAGAAATTCAGCAGCAGCAGCAGCAACATCTTCATCAGATGTCACTCCTCGCTCATATGGGAATGGGAACGGGAACGGGAACGCGCATTCATCCTACACCGGTTGTGGCTGCCACTCCTCCTTTCATGCCGCCCTTTATGATGCCACCGCTGATGCCACCGCACCATCCTCCTCAAGCAAAGCCTGAACCAACCGGCACTAACAATGGTTCAGACCCTCTCTCTGATCCATATTGTTCCCTCCTAGCACAGGTACGTGCATGTCTTCACATAAACGTGTGAGGAAATGATAGTAAGAAGCCCATGTTTGGAAGTACTTTTAGTATAGCTAAAACCATTCTCAGAAAACCCAAAGTGTTTATAACAAAATGCTTAGGAGTGCTTCTATGGAAGAGCGTATGCTATGTGCTTCTAAAAACACTTTGAGTGGTTTCTCACTAAGCACTTGAATTTTTATTATAATAAAAGCGAGCATATGTGCTTTCAATGTTTTAAAAGGCTCACAGAGGCGTCCTGTGAGGCTGGGCTTGAGGGTTGCCGCCTCTGTTTTGAGGGAGTGGGCGGAAGGCGTCGGAAGGCATCGCCAGAGCCGCCTAGGCACGCCTCAGGGGATTTTTTTTTTTTTTAACTCCCAAACCCAAATTTTGGGTAGGGTTTTAACTACCTCATACCTCTTCCTTGCACTATCATCTCTCTGCCTTGTTTTCTATTTTTTATTTTTTATATAATGGATGTGTGTGCCGTCTGCTTGCATTGTTATATGTGTGCTCATTGTGCTTTTCATCATCTATTATATATATATATAATGTATATATATATATGTGTATATGTATTTATAATATATGTGTGTGCTCAGGATGATTATTGATAAATAATATTTTTTTTAATATAATATATGTGTACGCTTAGTATATATATTAAAAATTTTAGATCATGTAAGGTTTTGCCTCACATCTCACGCCTAGGCTAGGCTATCCCTCGGACGCCTCGCCCACACCTCATGCTTTTAATACATTGTGTGCTTTATAGAAAAGCAATTTCTGTACGGTCATTAATCTTTTATTTTTTACTTTTGGAACTAATTTGAATAAAAATGGATTTGCAGCAATCAATGAATATGGACCTGTTCAACAGGATGGCAGCTCTCTATCGCCAACAAGTCACTCCGGCTACAGCAGCGTCAAGCAGCCCGTCACAGTCAAACCAGGTTCGAAGGAACTAGTAAGGAAGCACCTAACTCCCGGAGATTATAGTTCACGTGATAAGAGAAATACTAATAGAACAAGCTAGCCTTGGTAAAATGCGACTAGTTCAAACGTTATCTCTCTTAATTACTAATGATCTTGCATGATTGGACTTATCAATCAAGTCTTGTAAATTATTTCTTCCTACATAATTTGAATCCGGATAGATTGAAAGTCGACATCACAATATCCTGGAAAATGGATGCATGACTCTGTTAAACCACAAGAATTTTGCCCCACACAACATTTTCTGATGTGAGTTTTGAACCATAACAATTAATTTGGTCTCAAGATATCAACGTACGTTTTCGTGTTACCGACATTCTCATCATGTCACGCGACGACGACATAACCATCTATGGGGACACATTAGTTTGCAACTCTTGAACACCAGACCGCCATGGGCGGTGCTGGTGGGAATGGCAAACCCGCCATGGTTCCTGAGTGTTCTTTGCAAGCTTAAATATGTAATTTTCGATAAGCAGTAACTAATAAATCACCAACACGCACGGGGCAGAAATGTACAACAGAAAAATAATAGCAATAATACACAACTCCTTCAGCAAATCAATCGGTAAAGCAGTACACACAAGAAAAATGTTTCACATTCTCAGGGAGCCTTCTCACCTTGATTCGGTTCTCTTCATTTATGCCTCCGCAACTTCACAAACTCGCACAACTTCAATCCCACGCAACCTCCAATCAACTGCATTCATGTTTTTTTTTCTTTCGTTTTTTGTATGTTTCTTTTCAAATATGTACAGAAATCATAGCTATATATATGTATTTGGTATATCAGACTGCATCTTCCGTGTCTGTTTCCGAAGCCATGGATTTGGTATCCTGACGCGAAATCACGGTCTCAAAAGCACCAACCAAGGCCTTGACTTTACTCTTCCTGGACACAACAAGCCTACTGGCAGTCTCTTCGATCACATTATTTAACAACTTCTGCACATCCTTCCTTCCTTTCACATCTTGATGTCTCAACACAACCCTCTCAGGTTCCGTTCTAGTACTACCATTCAACCCGCTATCACTAGCCGTTTTCCTCCTCGAGCTCTTCCTTCGTGAACCTTCCACATCTCGTTCGAAGCTTCTCAGAACAAATTTCTCACTTTTGAATTTACTACCATTTGACTGGCTGCCATCAACTTCTTTCGTCCCGGGGCTTCGCCTTTTGATGAAAGCACCATTTGAGTGACTGTGATCAGCTACTTTCCTCCCGGGGCTTAACTGTTTTAATACATCACCAACTGAATGGTTGTCACAAACTTCTTTCCTCCCGGCGCTCCCCCCCTGTGACACCACCTTTACCATTTTGGATCTCCCCTGCCAATCTTACTCGCCTGAATTTGAGTCTCCTTGTAGTACTGATCTCTGGCTTTATGTCAAGCACCCTTCCTCTCTTAAATGTCAGCTTTCGGGCTGAGCTGTTTTTACTTTCAGGGTGATGTGTCTCAGACTTTCTAGGCCTAGTACTCTTCTCCACCTTCAAATTTTCTCTTTGATTACCAGTTTTCATTGCTCCGCATTGAGAGGTGGCGCCATTTTCTCTTTTATGAGTGGACTGGCCTGGGGATGCGGACATGGATGATGATGATGACGATGACAATGAAGATAAAGGTCTTCGAGTACTCCGCCTCAAACCTTTGTTTTCAGGGGGTGGAGCAGTAGTTGAACGACCATAACCTCCATTTACAGTGCGTTTGAAGTTTTTCTTCTTGGAGGATGTATGTGATCGAGTGGTACCAACTCCCTTCCTTGCTTGCCTCGAGCTTTTGACATCAGAGGATAGATGTGATGATGATGATAACTCAGGGGCATCAGCACCATTTGGAGTTGGTTTGACAGTACTATTCCCAGTATTAGATTTGACGACATACAAAATCTTTTCTGGAACATCCTTATTGCAGGGTCCCTCAGGTTCAACTTTTCGGGGACACTTTTGATCTTTCATATGAGACAATACTTTAAGGTTCTTAGATCTTCCAGCATTTGCATCGGAGACTCTCTTGACAGGGTGTTTGGAAGTCAAAGAAACAGTTTCAGGCTCTAACATCTTTTTCTCAACCAATACAGGAGTCCTTTGCAGCTTGCTTCTGATTTTTCTATTTACACTACTGCTCGAACCTTCTTGTATTTCCTTGCCTTTTCTAGTTCCACTCTTTCCTTGATTACTTGAACCTTGTCCTGTGCGAGAAGATGGCTCTAGTTGCTCAGGCTTCACCTTTGAACAAGCGGAACCTTCCGTAGAAACATCAATCTCCTTAATGGGAGTCAAAACTGTTTTTGAAGAGACATTTTCTTTCCTTTTCGATGATAAAACTCTTTTCTCCGTGCCACCAGAATGATTAAGTTCCTGTGCTTCAGAATCTGGAGAAGGATTAGGACTGACTGTTGATATCACCTTTGAATCGGTGGAATCTTCAGCAGAAACATCTATATCCTTATAGGGAGGTGAAACTCTTTTCTCCGTGGCAGTAGAACTCTGGGACTCAGAATCTGGAGAAGGGTGAGGATTGATTGTTGATGTTACCTTCGAATTTCTCAAGCTTGGGTCTGATCCTGGGAGAGAAGATTGATCTAATTGCTTATCCTTCATCTTCAAATCAATCAACTCTTCCATACAAACAGCTATTTCCTTGGGAGATGAAACTTTCTTTGAAGAAGTTTCTTTTGTCGACGATGAACCTTTTTTCTCCGTGACAACATAATTATTAAGTTTCCGGGTTGGGGAATGTGGAACAGACCTCGGTCCAGTTGTGGATATCACCTTGGAATTTCTAAGGCTTAAGGCCGCTTCTGGGAGAGAAGATGGCTCTGATTGCACACGTTTCACCTTCAAACCGGCGGAATCTTCCATAGAAACATCAATGTCCTTGGAAGAAGATGGAACATTTTCTGCAGAAACAATTTCTTTCTTTGTCAATGACAATACTTTTTTCTCTGTGACGACAGAATTGTCAAGCTTCTGGGTGTCTGAATCTGGAGAAGGGTTTTGACTGGTTGTGGATATCCGTTTCCTCTCTGTAGCTGATTTTCGCAGTGCGCCAGTTGCATTTTCTTCAGAGGCATTTCTCACTCCATATTTGCAATAATCATGGCAGGAACTTATTGGAGCTCTAAGATATCGGGACTGAATCCATCTACCACCCTTTGGTTCCACTTCATGTGGGATCCACAGAACAGAGTTCTTGCTGGTATCGCCAGCCTTTGGTTCCATTTTCTGTGGGACCTCTGGCATAGAGTTCCTTCTGATACCACCACCACTGTGCTCTAATTCCTGTGGGATCACTCCAATAGAGTTCCTTCTAACATCACCAGCATTAGGCTTCATTTCCTGTGGGATCACTGGGATAGAGTTCCTTTTGATATCAGCAGGAGGATCTACTTTCTCTATGGAGTTTCTTCTGATATCACCGGCATTAGACTCTATTTCCCGTGGCCTCACTGGGATAGGCTTCCTTCTGATATCACCACCCTCATGCTCCATTTTGTGTGGGATTGCTAGGATAGATTTCTGTTTGATATCACTGCCATCGGGTTCTATATCCTGGGGGACAGCTGCAATAAAGTTCCTATCATCATCACTGAGATCCATGTCCTGCAGGACCACTGGGATAGAGTTCCTCTCGGTAGAAGGAGGATCAAGATTTCCGATAGAGCTCCTTCTGATGTCACCTCTATCGAGCTCTATGTCCTGTGGAATCCCCACGACTGGATTACCTCCGACATCACCACCCTTGGGATCCATCTCCTGTGGGATCACTGGGATAGAGCTCCTTTTGATATGAGGAGGATCAACATTTCCGATAGAGCTCCTTCTGCTATCCCCGGCATTGGGCTCTATGTCCTGTGAAACCCCTGGATCAGAGTTACCCCTGACATCACCACCCTTGGGATCCATTTCTGGTGGGATCTCCGCGATGGAATCCCTTCTGATATCACTGCCAACGTCACCACCATTGGACTCCGCTTCCTGTGGGATCGAATTCTTTCTGGCCTTTTCACCAAGAAGGTCCAGGCCTTGTAGGATCACTGGGATACCGATGTTCTCTGCTTCCATTATGAAGAAGACGACATAGCAAACTGACAACCCTGGAAAATATTATAATTTCCCAAGAAAGGGAGAGTGAGATAGAGTATAAAAAAAAAAAACAGCAACACTCAAAATAAAATTTTAATTCCCTTTTTTCTCATATTTCAAGTTAAAGAACAAAATTGACGCGGAGTGCTTACCAAGAATCTGATGTCCTATAATGTAGGGAGAACCTTGAGGCCTCAAAACTTCACAAGGATGTTCTGCTGCATTCAACACGAATCAAAAGATTCTACTAAGATAACACTCACAACAGTTCCAGAAAACAAATGCAGATTTCATATTATATCATGAACGGAAAAAGGAAAGCTTGCAAAAGCATTTAGAGATCATTTGTTATCGAAATAGATTCACTACTTCTTGAAGCTTTAACATTTATGGTGAGCCTTTTGACTTTTACAGCAGTCCCTAATTCTTTCTTTCCGTATTCTTGGATTAGGGTTTTATCCTTCTTAGTACTCCTAAGAACTTGTCACCTCCACTTCACCTAATATTTTATCGAACACCAGATAATCAAACATTCAATCTCCTAATTCAGATGGGATGCCCTTCAGATACCTCATGCATCAACTCAACGTACCATTTGTGTACCCAAATTCTAAGTCAGTAAAACACTTGTTGCTACTTGTTAGGATCAAAGCAGCAGACTCGCGCACTCTGTAAGAAGATTAATTCAACTTTCATTGCACAAAATACTTAACACAACCTTATGGGAACATTTCAAAAGATTTTAAATCACCCTATTAAATTGTTAAACAAAGTAAACACACCACCTAGCAGCTGATACAAAGAGAAAGGTCTAATGCAGATACCATGATTGGTCTCCTAGGAGAATTAGTCTCGATTATTGAGCTCGTTGTTTCAAAACCTGAAAAACCATACAAAAAAAGGTAAAATCAAGATGAATGCAAAAACATCTATAATCTATATTTGTAAACACCAATTCAAAAAAAAGAACAATGTATCACATAAATCAGGAAACTGTATAAACTTGCAATTCCATTAATCAACAATAGAGAAAAGATTGATTCACTTACAGGTCCAAAGGGCCAAGGAAAATCCTATCAAATATTTGTTCATCCATCACAATGGTAACCGCAACGAATTCAAAAAAAAAAAAATTCTTTACTACAAGCGATATTCTACACTAATTCATATAACTACGGAGATGGAGATTCAAACTTGGGTGCATACATGGATTCAAAATGTTCTTATTACACTTGCGCAGGTCCAAAAGGCCAAGGAAAATCCTAGAAAATATTTGTTCATCTATCACAACGGTAACCGCAGCCAATTCAAAAAAAAAAAAGTTTCTTTCTACAAGCAATATTCTACATTAATTCATCTAACTACGGAGATGGGGATTCGAACTTGCGTGATGGATTCAAAATCTTCTCATTAAATATGTAAAAAAAAAAAAAGCAAATTTATGATGAAACATGTGGGAAAACAGAGACTAGCCCATCTGCAGTTTTCACACAATCATTCATTTCATTAAAAAAACAGACATAAAAAGTCCACATTTTCACATCAACCATGAATTAAAATCGCAAAACACACAAAACCCATCTGCAATCCGTCACAAAAAAATCACATCCCGTGCCGGGAAAAAATCCAAAACTTGAAAAAAGCATCAAAAATCGAACCTTTTCTTGTGCATCTTCCTATTCTTCTCGACCATGAGAGGAGAAAAGACCCCAAAAGGGGACGCAGCTGCACAAATTGGTCACCCCTTACAAAAAGTGGCGATTTATTCGTCGTCGTTGGCTCTGTGAGGATAAGAATGCGCGTTTGTTTTTGTTGCAAATTTAAAAATAAAAAAAAATTAAAGAAAATAAAAACCCCAAAAAGCCATTTTTTTTGCCTTTTGGGTTTTCGTGGCGGGTCGGCTGCTTTGTTTGGCTGGAAAGAGAGAGAAAGTTCTAGAGGGAGAAAAAGGGCGGGTCCTAACGGTCTTATTCTGGAAATACTTCTATCCGCCTGGGATAATACGATTGAGTTACCTGACTGTGACTCTGGGTTTAACGACAAACACGCGCCAACGACCGTTTTTCCCTTCCGGTATCGGTTAGGACCGTTACTCTTCTATTTTTAGTTTTTCTTTTTCTTAATTTTCAGCCTGGGTGTCTATTGAATATAATTTTTGAAATTTTTTATTTTTATCATTTATTTTACCATCATTTGTATCATTTTCATAATAGAGATGAGATCCACGATGAGTCTAACTTCTACTAGAGAAATGTTACAAATGATGATACAAAAACAATTTTTTTATAATTGAATACAACTTAAGAAAGAGGACAATTTACCAATGATTATGATTTTTTTAGTCAAAAGTAAGTTTATTACCAACAAAGCTACACAAGCAGAGACCCGATAAAATTGGGACGATACAGAGAAAATTAGCATGTCCCATGACATGCATAAATCGAGAAATTGTCCAAATTTTTATTAGCTTTCTCTAGGACGTAAGCTCTCTCTAGAAACCTCAGAAACCAGAGCCAACTCCCCTTCCTCCATGGCCGCCGGCCTCTAGCTAAGGCTGGGGGTCGGTGGCCGCCCCTCCTTCTCCTCCTACTAGCCTCCTTCCTCCCCATCCCCTCTTTCCTCTCCATCTCCCTCCCCCATCCCACCCCACTTTCTATCACCTAGCCTTTCCCCCCTCCTTCCGCCTTTTTCCCTTTCCCGTCCCTGCTTTCTCAGCCTTCCACCCACCTCTCATCTCCCGTGCCTCCCTCCTTCGTTTTCTTCCATTCCCCCTCCCCCGGCGTCTTTTTTCCCCTCCCTCCCTCCCTGTCCCCCCCCCACGGGACTCCTCTCCCTTCCCCCCCTTTTTGGGGCTTTGGAAGGTGTTGGTGGCTGTCGGGTTTGGTGTTGCGGCGGTCCGACCAAGGATTATGATTTTGACACTCCAAAATCAACCCCTTATTCATAAGGCTTAATTACTCGATATTAATTTTAAACTACTATAGTTACTCATTAAAATTTTGGACATCTTCAAACATTAAAAAGATAAGTATGACTAAAACAATAACACAATCGAGTAATGTTGCACTTATTATGTTTTTCAAATCACATTTGTACCATCTCTGTAATAGAGATAGAATCCACTAATATATTGTAATAATTTCGAATTGTAATAATAATTAAAAAAAATTACTGGGTCCATCCATTTTAAACTGATGAAGATTTTTATCTACTATTAATTATTAATTATTATTGACCCTTTGGTGTTAATTGAATCATGGAGAAAATTGGAGCTTGAAAGTGAGATCAAGTAGGTTGGTGTTTCGTCATCATTAATTATATCTAACCTTATCTTGAAACTGCTTTTGCCAGACTCTATTGACATCAGGTGATACGAAAGTGGTGAAGATTGTTGGGAAAGAGGTTAGGATTATTCTTAATTAAGTTTTCGATTTCTTCCATTATTTTCTTTTGTCAACCGTAAACCCTAAACCCTAAGCTGCATTATTTGAAAAGAAGAATATCATGGGGTATCAATCTTTCTCACTACGTGTTATAGAATATCAACAGTTGTGTGGTATAGGATAACCTGTTATCGAAAAACCTACTTCCATTTCTTTAAATCTCCCTTCTAATTCAAAATCGTGGTGTAACATGTATCCTAGTGCCAGCATACCATCGACCAAGGCAGGCTTGGAATTATTGATCATATTTGTTCATTTGTTGGACTAAAGTGTAGTTCTTGCAAGAGATTGATCCAGCAGCCATTTCAAAAAATAATTCATGCTTCTTTAAAATTAAGACACAAGTAGCTCATCAATCCTTAGTTTTATGTTGGAGGTGCGTGTATGCAGATGAAATTTCACAGTCGAACACTCCCAGTTGATATATATTTGTTCATATTGGAATTATTTCGGTTCCTAACTTAATTTTCTCGTGTTCTGGAGTTTGGTTTTGTTTATGGATTGAATGTGACTCGTCATTGTCTGTTCACTTTCTTTCTTCTTCAAGTTTATTGTTGGCATGTCGTCTTAGGGTTAGTTTGTCAGATTGTAAACTTGAAGGCATGGCGTCTTACGGTTAGTTTGTCAGATTGTCTAGCTCTTAGCCAAAAAGCGTTCTCGTTTTTCTCATATTTTTCAACAGGACAATCAGATTGCTGATTCCCTAGCTAATTATGAAGTTGATCATGTCAACTCTCATTGGTGGGATCATGTCCCTTCTTGGCATCTTAGGGTTGAGTTTCCATCATAAATCAATCGGTAATATGGAGAGTAGTCCAACTGACTTATAAGTCCATGCAAAGTATCTCCTCTCATCAATGTGAGATTCATTCTCATCACTCTCTCACATATGTCAAATTTTCAAGCTTAACACATAGAGAACACAAATGGGGTGACGTGGAATGCGTATAACTATTGGACTTCACACGCGGGACAACCTGTTCTAATACCATGAAAAAAAATTAAGATTCCAATATAAAACTACTTGGCAAAATGTGGAGTAGCCCAACCCAAAACACAAATACTTATGGTATTGTTTCATGGGTATGCTCGCACCGGTTGGTTGTTGTAGTTGTTTTCAAAACTACTATAATTTTCAAGGAGGAGAGATTCAAATTTTAGTACGAGAAAACAAACACCATGGTCCAATTGGTGGGCCATGTGACATAACTTACGTATAATTTTCTTACTTAGGCAATGCAAGACATTTGGATTCGAGAATACTCCTATCAATCGTTATCACCTTATTTCTTTTCTTTTCATATAATGAAATATATCAATCGTTATCACCTTATTTCTTTTCTTTTCATATAATGAAATAAATCAAACTTCTGACATCCTAATACTTATCAACCCTCATCAGCTTGATGATTTTAACAGTCTAGCAAAAGCAATTTCAAATACATATTATGATGACAAAAACTATATGTGAAAATGATATTAACAAGGGTAGGTAAATATTTCCCAAATGAATGACCTACTCAACCTCACTTTCAAGCCCCAATTTTCATTCCTTTGAAGTTTTTTCTCCATGATTCAATTCAAAAGTAGGTAAATACTTCAGCAAAAACACCTGACTTTGCTTGATTTATGTGAGGACATTGCAATTACAGAAGGGCAATGCTATCCACATACCAATTTTTACTTCTCACACACTCATCTTAATTTTCGACCGTCGGATCAAATGAATCAAAACAAAGAATTAATAAAGGTGTGTGAATAAAACTTTCCATTACGTAATACAGACTGTCCAAATTTATTGGTACATATAAAATACTTTCGCATTCAGTCAATTTTGGTGTATGAAAATTTGTGGAGGCATTTGTTTGGTAAAAACATGATTTCGAAAGCAAGCTAGGTAGTCCATGAGTATGATTCAAGAGCTTGTCTTCATGGCGAAGGTTAGATTAGATTACAGAACCCAGCTAAAAGCAATCTTATTTCGTGGGGCACCAACAGTTAAAAAACTTCATGATTTCCAAAGTTGTAATTACAGAACCCACTTAAATCATGGTACGGGATAGTAGTTTGCATAAGGCCTTGCTATAATTAGTCCTTAAACCTCACTTACTAAAAAAGTAAACTAAAATTTTGAGTAAAATCTGGGACTGAAATAGTATTATTATGCAGCTATCTTGAAAAGATGCCATGAAAATTTTTGGCCATTTCTAAAATTTTAGTTTATTTATTTAAATGTTTTATTTTTTTCAATAATATGTTTGAAATACGTGTATACTATGTAATTTTATCAGTTATCTGTATTATTAAAGAATTTGTTAAAAAAATATGTATTATATGTGAAAATACATACATGTGTGACATAGTAATAGTACGGTTATTTTTAAAATATGCATTCGAGCAAATAATTCATAGTCGTACAAAAAATAAACATATTTTTTAAAAATACGTACACGCAAATATATTATACACCAATTTTTCGCCATGTTTGCTCTTCATGTCAATGCCTCTTACAATATGGTTGAAGAAAATGTTTATTTTTACTGTATAGCTCAAGCATTGCAATTATATTTTAAATGTGTGTGTGTGTATTTATATATTATTTAGTACCCGTCATAGGGTTATTGGCTATCTCATCAACGTAGTTTACCTTGCAAGTCTTCCATCTGATATGCAACAACATTTGCATGGCATGATTAGAAATTTCTGAATCGTAATAAAGTGACAAAGTAGGTCAATCTTTTACTTGCTAGATTAGCTAGGGATTAATTTTTCTTTTTGTACATGCATACTTAGATTACACACTAATAAAATGATGAATAATAACTTACGAGTACTTAATTCTTTGGTTTTTCTATGTAATTGTATATTAGGGAGGCAGATTGTCTGCCATCCTTTTACCATGCATTTTCTCATCCTCTCCTATTTGTGCGGTCACGGTTAAGCCACGTTAATATGTCTTATTATTTCTATAAAAAATCAATATAAAATGTTGACGTGGCTTAACCGTGACCGCACAATGTAGGAGGGGATGGGAAGGGCATGGTAATGGGAGGGCAGACAATTTGCCTCCGTATATTAGTATGTGTGTGTCATATCTCCTTGTTAATATATAGAAGCAACATAAATGCTAAGAAGACTCTCTCAAAATGGGACTTTCTATAAATTCTCTGTCATTTCGCAGTTTAACGTTAATTCACGTGTCAACATTATAAAATATTTTACAAAAAACATAAGGTGGCAAAACGTTACAGAGATTTTCACTTTTGAGAAAGTTTTCTTTGCATTTTTCATAGAAGCAAAAGAAATTTGGGAGAAGAAAAAGGAATTAAAAGGGGCGTGTAATGATCACTTCACTTCATGATCACCACAGTTGCAAGTCAAATTGGAAAAAGGAAATTGGGTTGAATAAACATGTTCACTGCTTCATGATTGTTGATGTTTTCTTGGCTTCAAGATGGGGCATTCTTCTGGTGGGGACTCAGACTGAGACTAGACTACTTTTCTTCTTCTTGCGAACCCTACACTTTACATATTGCAAATTACATGCACCCTTTAATTTCTGCAAAAAATTAATGTTGACATCTGATACCCTAACCAGAGGAAATATATATATAAAAGCTGAAAATGGAACTTCATGATAAGTTGTCCAACCTCGATGGCCCATTGAGTCCTCTTCTGTATTAATTGTTGTTGGATGAATGGTCATCTTATCTTGGTATTCAAACATTATTGAAGTCAATTATGTAACGATATTTTTATAAAATATTCTTTCGACGTACCAGAACGTGTGTGGAAAAGCTAATATTTTCATAAAATCAGGATCCTTGAGCATTATTGTGATGATGTTGGTGGTATGTATGCAAACATTATCGAAATCAAAATGTTGAAGAACACGTGTGAAGAGACTAATATGTACTCTCATAAAATCACGATGTGTAAATTTTTAGTTTCTACTTTTATTTTTCAGTGAAAGTCTTAAGGACTAAATTGAACTTTACCTGCATGAGCCTGCCTTTCCGAAAGTCCTTTAATTGGCTCGAGAACACTTTGGTTTGGACGTGATGATTATGAAGGATCACAAATAACAAAAAATGAGAATGAAAAATTTTCATGCAAGTAAACTTTTTAGCTAAAATTTGGACATATCTTAGGCATTGATTTTAGTCTGTCACGTTTGGTCTCCCAGCTAGCAAACCATCTCCATCAGACTATCTAGACTATCTGCCAACAACATTATTATTAAAAAAAAAAATTCCATCTGTTTGCGTGAAGAAAATTCAATTATAAAACCCCATTCAACAGCACCAAATTTCCCACACCCAGAAAATAAAAACAAAAACCCACAACCCTAAACCCTAGACCAACCATGGTTTCTGAAACTTACCGATCCAAAAATGTCTGTGTGATTGGAGCTGGACCCTCAGGGCTTGTAGCTGCAAGGGAGCTGAGGAAGGAAGGTCACAAGGTGGTGGTGTTGGAACAAAACCATGATGTGGGAGGGCAGTGGCTGTACGACCCAAATGTGGAGGGAGAGGATCCCTTAGGAAGGGTACCTACCCTAAAAGTGCATAGCAGTCTTTACACCTCTTTGAGGCTCATATCTCCAAGAGAGATCATGGGGTTCACTGACTTTCCATTTGCAGTAAAAAAAGGTAGGGACATGAGGAGGTTTCCGGGCCATAGGGAACTTCTATTGTACCTCAAGGATTTTTGTGATTGGTTTGGGTTGAGGGAGTTGATAAGGTTCAATACTAGGGTTTCATATGTGGGGATGTTGGATGGAGATCATGTAGTTGGTTGCAAAGATTTGAAATGGGTTGTGAAGAGTGTGGAAAAGAAGACCGAGATTTTCATAGAAGAGGTGTTTGATGCGGTGGTTGTGGCCACGGGCCACTACTCTAAGCCAAGGTTGCCATCCATTCAAGGTATGTACTACTTGATCAATTTCTTTCGTTTCTTGCTAGCTCATGTCTAACAAGAATTTCGTTGTATTAATCTTAGTCAATCACGCACTAACATGCGTTTTTTAACAGTCACATTTTTAATCATAATTATATGTGGTTTCAATTTTCGTTTTTCTTTTTCACTATGTCCATTTTGTTTCTTTTTAATTGAGGTGGGCTTAATTTGGTTATGTTTAGGAATGGATGCATGGAAAAGGAAGCAACTGCATAGTCACATCTACAGGGTTCCGGAGCCATTTCGTGATGAGGCAAGGCAATATTATAGTAGTTAATTATTAGATTATTAGCTCGATATATATATTGTTGGCTAATTCCCTAACAACTTAAAGCGTTTGGAGAATGCAAATGTCTAACATAAGTTTATATAGATCAACGAAGGTGTATAGCACAAAGAGATGAAGTGATCCTTTTGCTCTATTTGCAGGTTGTGGTGGTGGTTGGGACTTCACTAAGCGGACAAGATATATCAATGGAACTAGTGGATGTGGCGAAGGCAATCTACCTCAGTGGAAAATCTCTTGACATATCTGAGGGCTTGTCCAAAGTCATTTCCAAACACGAAAACTTGCACCTTCGTCCCCAGGTTCAAGAAATTAGCTTCTACTGGCTAACTGTCACGTTTAGTGTCTAGAATTAGATTATAAGCAAATAAAACTAGGTTTCAATACAATTTTTTTTATGTAACATTCAAATGCAACCAAATGCAGATAGAGGCACTTCAAGAAGATGGGAAGGTATTATTTGTGGACGGTTCTTGGGTCATTGCAGACACTATCATGTACTGCACTGGGTATATTTCTAACCCAAAATCATCTGTATATTTACAATGGGAACTTGAGACAAATTGAAAATATTCTACATCAATCATGCATTGTTATGTAAAAAGATTAAATTATGTGATTGATTTAAAAAAATCGTCACGTGAAGACTTACTTTGATATGTGATTGGTTAACCACATTCTTTTGAGTTTTGACTGAAACGATTTTGTGTGGGTCCCCGCATTCAAATTATGACCCCCACCTAGTTGCATTGCTTTGAAATGGTGTATAAATTAATTGTTCCAAGTGGGTTGTGTGCAGGTATTCATACACATTCCCCTTTCTTGACACCAAAGGAATAGTAACTGTGGATGATGACAGAGTGAGCCCCTTGTATGAGCACACCTTCCCTCCATCACTTGCTCCCTCTTTATCTTTTATAGGCATTCCTAGAAAGGTAAATAAAGCATTTCTAATTCGGAAATTTTTAGTATGCGTTCGGATATAGATCTTTGGTTAAGAATACAATGGTAAAAATTTTAACAGTTAAAAATTTCAAAATATAGAATGCTTCAAAGGTTAATAAAATTTTCGTTCTAATTTAATAATTTTTGTGAAAATGTTATTTATTAATCATAAATGTGATCTAGATAATAGGGTTCCCTTTCTTTGAGTCACAAGCAAAATGGATAGCTCAACTGCTCTCTGGGAAAACAACATTGCCATCAAGGGATGACATGATGCAGTCCATCAAGGAGTTCTACCACTCAAGGGATGTTGCTGGCATTCCAAAGCATAACACCCACGACATCGCCGAGTTTGAGGTAAACTTTTGTGCAACGAACTCATTTGTATCACATTTACTTATCACTTAACTAGTAGAGTCATTGTAGCCTTATATTCTAAGGTCTCTACCTTTTTTGTTTTGCTTGTTGTTGCAGTATTGTGACAAATATGGAGATCATATAGGGTTCCCACATTTGGAAGAATGGAGGAAAGAGCTTTGCCTTTCGGCACTAAGAAATGCTGAAACCGACTTGGAAACGTATAGGGATTCGTGGGATGATCATGAGCTGCTTCAAGAGGCTCTTCAAAGTCCACATTTTACTCAACTTGGGGCTCAAGATTTAGATTTTCCTCTTTGAAACCCTACAAATATTATTATTATTATTCTTTTTCTTGGACCACCAAGTTTGAGTATATTCTAAGTTTTTGCTTCTATTATTAAAAAAAAAATTATTATCCTTTTGTTTTTGTTTTTCAATAATGCTTCACAGATTTTGTATCAATATTTGATATTAAATTCAACTTAACTAAATTTCTGTTTCATCAAATTTCACATACTTTGTACGAAATATCTGGTAAGTTGTCGATTTGTAAACTGCTGAGAGTTGAAATCTCGTATTGATGAATTAAAGTAAGTCTAAAAGTCTAAATATATATATATATATATATATATTTTTTTTTTTTTTTTTTTTTTTTTTTTGGAAAACCTCGACGGTACGAGGGTAATTTTATTGATAACGAAAAAACAAGGTACACCTAGTCAGGGGGGGACATAAACCTTACCCCTCCAAAAAACAGAGATAACAAAAAGGAATACACTAGAAAGAAGGGGGGACATAAACCTTACCCTTCTAGAAACAAAAAATGAGAATGATACAAAGAAAAGAGGGGGGGACATGAAACCTAACCCCTCTAGAACCAAACATGAAGGTCTAAACCTGCAAAACAAATCAAACAACACCATAAAGATAGGAGAAAAAAAGGAAAGTGAGACAAACCTGGATGCCGACATGCACATTAATTTGAGAAGCGGTAACCAGGCAAGCCAACATAGTCAGAAAACAGAGTAGCACGAACCGCCATCGGAGGAGAATCATGCCATGTTAAAGATGGAGAAGACAAGCCCATGTTAGCAAAATTGTCCGCAACAAGATTTCCTTCTCGATATATGTTGAGATGCGTAGAAAGTCATTTTCCGAATGCGATCCAAACAAATAGACCATTGCGTATGAAGAGGCCAAGGAGGATCAAAATCAGATGATTGAAGAGCAGAAATAACACTAGAACTATCACTTTCCAACCAAAGACAGTGCCAACCCCGCTGATAAGCAAACTCAATACCAATAATAATTGCTGATAACTCTGCAAAAAAAGAGTTGCAATGACCAATCCGTTGACAGAAACCTCCGAGAAAACGACCATGGCAATTCCTGAAAACTCCTCCACATGCAGCAGGACCGGGATTTCCTTTAGACAAAACCATCTGTATTAAGCTTAACCCAAGGAAACCAAGGAGGAGACCAAAGGACAGGAAGAATAGTAGGAGCCTTGCGAGGGATAGGTTGGATCCCCAAAGAATAAATGATTCGAGCGTCAAAACCCTGAGAATAACCAGGAATAAACTTCCCACCATGAACAATCGCCGAATTAATAGACATGCAAAGACGATGAAAATAGATTGGACGACCCTCAAAAATAAATTTATTTCGAGCCTTCCAAATAGCTGAAATAGTAGAAAGACCCGCAAAAATCCATAGATTGTGCAATTGTTTGGAAAATGGCTTACGAACATATACATCCCAAAAAGCAACCAAAGAATCTGGAAGAGGTAAAGATGTACCAAATTGACATGCTAACCACCTCCAAAGTTGCCTAGATATCCGACATCCAAAGAAAAGATGAGCAGTAGATTCTTCAGAATTATGACATAAACAACAAATGGATGCCAAAGAAATACCACGTCGTTGTAACGCATCTTCTGTAGGAAGTTTATCATGAAAAAGCCTCCAAGCCAAAATAGATAGTCGTGGCGGAATAAAATGTTGCCAGATAACCTTAGCCCAAGCACAATCACTATGTCTCCTTCGAATAAGGTGATAACCAGAAGAAAAAGAAAACTTCCCAGTAGGTGAGGGCTCCCAAATCAATTTGTCATCCTTAGCATTTAAAGGCAAAGGTAGACGTAAAATCTGTTGCACAATTGAAGGGAATAAATTTGAAAAATAATCTGGCAAAGACCAACTTTGTGCTTCAATAACATCTGAAACCCGAGGAAGAACCTTAGGTGAATGACCGAAAATAAAGAAGGACTAATAATAGGCTCATCCAACCATTTGTCAAAATCAATTAGGGTTTGACGGTGTATTTAGACTTTTTTCACTCATAGTCAATTGATTTTGAGTTGGATGCTCATATGCTCATATTAATACAGTATCAGATTAGGTTATTAGTTTGTTGAGCTCAATGGTCCACATAGTCTCACGTTACTTAATATGTATTGTCAACGTGTCAAGCAATGATGCCACAAGTTATTTGTAATATGGCCACCTTTCATAACGCACATTTTGGTCTCGTCTAGCACAAATGATTGGATTGAATACCTCATTAGATTATATTCGTTTGAAATGACTTTTTTTGGTTATCGGATATATTCAGCAATGTGCTTTTTACACTTCTTCCTTCAGCTTCAACATGTCTATAATGGCTAAGGGCTCGTTTGGCTATCAAACTCTATAAAGCGCTTTTATTCACCAGCAATTTTTGTCTGTAGCACTATTCAGTGGTGCTTTTACAAAGCTGCAGTTTGTTGTTTGGTAGATAACAAAATAAGTGCTTTTGCACTATACAAAAGTACTTTCGATAAAAAGATGAACCTTCATTGCAATATGGCTTCTTTTCTTCTCCACCCCATATATATATGTATATATATGCTCATGTATGAACTCTGGTCTGGAGAACATGTACAAAACAGTCTATTTGATTCACAAAAACCTCACCAAATGTGCATAAAAGTAGACATTTTATCGTAGCTCTTCCTATACTTGGCCTGAAATGAGCCGAGGCTTGCTAACTGGATATCTCTGCCCTCTGCGCCGCCTAGTTACCTCTCCCCAACAAATTAGACTTCTTCTCTCCTCTTTTCCGAATTGACTTGTGCCACCAATCTGCTTCAACAGTGATTCCAAAGTATTCTCAGTTACAGTGGACGGAGAAATGCTGGACCTTCTCCTCCCCCTCGCCAACCCAAGTTTAGCTGCGCATCTAAACGACCTTGTTTTACCAGAAGACCCAATTAACTTTTCTATTGTCTGAAGATCTTCAGTCACCTCATGCCTTGACAAAGAAGCAAGATTTGGGAGAATTTCGCTCTGGAAATCCTTCTGCTGCCTTCCCCTCCTTTTCCGGCCTTTCCTTGGCTGACCTGGTAATAAAGTGGTACTAGTTTCTTCCTTATTGTGGCAATTACTTCTACAGCAGCAGCACTCTTCCACTTTTGTCTCAGTTAAATTCAATGACATGACCTCAAAGTAGTCCATCCCATCAGGTAGAAGCTCCTCGCTGATAACCACTCTACCCTCGTTCTCTTGACCACCTACAACTGAAGAAGCTATCCCAGCAAACCAACATAGGGAGGCACATGAAGTTTCAAGTGGCTTGTCCGTGGTGCTTACGATACAAGTATGAAGCTTGGATGATGAAATGGAAACCAAAGATTCTGCTGCAGTACTGTCAACTTGGTTTTCATCAAATTCTAGTATCGGCAGAGGACACACATTGTTTCCCGGATCTTCCTGTCCTGACAATCGAAAAGGTGTCTCCACTTGATTTTGATCAGATTCTCCTACTGGCGGAAAACGCTCATTGTTTTCCGGATCATTCTGTCCTGGCAACAGAAAAGGTGTCTCAACTTGATTTTCATCTGATTCTCCTCTCGGTGGAGAACACTCCTTGTTTTCTGGACTTGCAGGTGCCTCCAAAAGAATTCCAGTTGAGAGAGAGTCCGTTGGTGAAAACTCATCTCCAGTTACGGACGAGTTCAGGTCAATTTGAAATCCAAAATCTTTCCTAGCAAATTCATTCTCTACTGCCTGTTCTGTAAGTTCAATTTCTGGGTCAAGCACAGATTCGCAAGCTGCGTTTAAATCAAGTACCACAGCTTTTCTTCTTTTCTTGACTTCTTCAGGTGGGTTCAGAATGGAATTGGAGGGGTGGCCAGTAGAGTCGCGAATTATTTTACTTGAGGAATCACTTGCATCCACCTGGGTTGAATTATCACATCCTTTGTCAGTTTTACCATTATGGTTCCACCTATGCCAAGGCAACCCCTCACTAGAAGCTTCGAGCTTTTCTGATTCAGTTGTTGCTTGGAAACTCTGGGAAACTGCAGCATCCAGAGAACAACCAGTAGGTACACAATTCAAGTTAATATCCTTACAAGACTTGACACTTGCAGAATCCAACACGTCTTTTGTAACGCCATGGTGTTCAATCCCTATATTGTCATTAGTCCGGATCAGATTATCTAAACTGATGTGTGGTCGGTGGACCTCTGAATTCTTGGATTCCAACTGGGAGCCATTGCTAAAGTTATCATCAAGAGAAAAGGCACTACCATGTTTTGTGCTAGATCTCAAATCATGTTTCAACTGTAACCTGTCACCATTGATCCCAGGCCTTATTGTCGACGATTTAGAACTATTACCTAATTGTATGGGGGTGTTAAAACAAGGGAGTGCTTGAACTGCTATTGGGAACCGTGCAAAGTCGTGTATGGGTTTTCTTAAAGCAGCAATGCATGAGGCCCCTGAATTTTCCATCTCACCCTGAGGAATATGTTGATATGGCGTGCACAAGGAAGAAGCTCTGCTTGGTCCAGATTGGCTATAACTTCCTGGCTTCTGTAGACCAAAAAGTGTTCTTCCACTCCATGAATTCTGGTTACTCTGATGAAAGGGTGGAGGTTCAGCTGCCTTAAGCTCTTCATGTAATAAACTAGATAAAGGATAAAATTGATCTGCATGAGAACCTTGAGGAAAAGAATCCAAGGTTCTTTTCCTTTTCCCTGAAAGATAAACACTTCCATTATAAGAACATTTCCGGTGATTATAGCTATTCAAGTTGACCACAAATTATTGTAGCATTAGAACTAATTGTAAAGTATACTTATAAGAGATGCAGTTCTTTAAAAACATAATGAAGAAACTTGAGCTTTGTTTCCACCTTGCAATAAAATTCTTACCAGCTTCATAAATGGATGACCACTCTTGTTTCCTTTTTCTCTCTTGCAGTAGAACATTTGAGAAAACTTCAAAATCCTGTCTTTTCCGGGTGTCTTGGATAAGTTCCTTAGATAAAAACTGACGGCCTGGTGTAGGAGATGTTCCTTTCTCAAGCTTATACACATAATTTAAGTCAAATGAATCTTTTTCTAATGATGCAGAAGTTGAGGTATCATCTTCAGAACCAAGAAATTGTTTTGCATCACCATTACACAAAACCTCTGGAAATCTTTTCAAACGAGAACTTGATACTTCAGGTGCTTCAGAAACCTTTCCATCTACTAAGAATCCTTCTCCTTCATCATCAATGTATGCATCGGCTGGAAGTTCGAGATCAAAGTTCTTCTGAAATTTCTTGCATTTGGATTCCAACAATTCACAGTCTCCCGAACGGCCTTCAGTTTGAGTAGGATAAGAGCATGTCTGTATGTTCCTCCCTCGAACAAAACATGAAGGTGACTCTATACTTTCAGCAGCTGACACAGAGATTTGACTACATGCAGGGTTTACCAAAGGCAAGGAAGGGGCGTGAAGTGTTTTTTGAACATAAACAGATGATTTCTGAGACAAAGCAGTAGTCAACCATGAAGCCTCCGTCTTCAGCTGATGTTTCTCAAATTCATTCCTTCTTATTCCATCCATTAATTCCCTTTGTCTTCCATAAAGCAGATGGAGGTCCTGAATCTGGATGGACAGAAGACATTTCGGGCACCTTTTAGTTTTTAAGGACTTCCATAAAAATTTGGGAATGCCAAAGATAGTCTGGCCAGAATGAATAAACCAACTGAAGCAAAAACCAAAACAATCAAAATCCTTGTAAAACAAAGGATAGCAGCATGGTTTTTAATTTTATTGCCGCAACTCCAGTTATCGTTAATGAACCACACTGAAGAATTAACAAGTGGTCGAAACAAAAATTGTTGTAGAAAGTGTTATGACAAAATCATTTGAATGTACTAAGCTCAATGAAACTCAAATGCTGCATATTATTCTTGACGTGAATGGTTGACTATACCTGATTCCTAAGTATTGTGTCTTGCTTGAGCATTGTCTGCTTTAATGACTCCTTGTAGTACTCGAAATGCTGCTCTGGAGATAAGTTATGATCCTTTTTACTGTCGTTAGCAATTAAGTTATGATTCCCTGCGGCGTAATATCCTGGGAAATAGTTGTTGCACTGGACATTTGCCCCCATTTGCAGAAAATCTGCATGTAGCGAAGCAGAGTTTACTGGTTAACACAATAAAGTATAACCGAGCTCAAGCGCTATCAGTTCCATCATAAAGAAAACATGCAATGTACAGAAAGCTGAATGTGGTTAGTCTGCATTGTATAGATGAATTGACGAAATTTAAAAGGAACCAACCAAGACAAGCCAACATTTAAAACCGTTAGGCTACAACGATCCCCTGTAGGGGAGTCAATATGAAATCATTTAGCTCGTCAAGAAGCGATTTGAGAGAAAACACAATGCAAGTTAAAGTATGTGTCTGCATTTGGAGAAAAAGGGGAATAAGGAAAATGTCATCTCTCTACGAAGATCGAAAGTTGCATCTTTGAAGCGATTCGCTAACTCAGAAATCACAAAAACACAGTAAAAGCCGCCAGATAAGTAAAAGTGGAAACTACACTAAAAACATAGAACAAACTCAGAATCACACACACAGTAACTTTTATTCATTTCACTAGTCAGGAACACAAAAGATACTTTCCCTTATCCAGATCTTCTTCAACTTGTATATACTCAAATGGTGGAAAGATGAATATAAAAGTCAGAGTAAAATATATCCCAAAATTCCAGGGGAACTCAGAAATCAAAGCTTCAAAAGGCAAAAGACATCAGAATAATTTAAAAAAAAAAAAAAAAACCCAGAGAACACTGAACCCAGAAACACAAATTACTAAAACAAAATCAATACAAAAAAATCTTTTGGCAAAATGTGGTTAAAAATTCCATCCTTTTGGTTTCCCAGTTCATGGATGCATATTTTACAGATCAAACATATGAAAATATAAAAATTAGCAAAGAAACAGAACAAAAAAGGAAAATACAACAAATCCATCAAAGGAAACACCTTTACTAATCAAAAGAATTAAAGGAATCACCTTTACCATTAAAAACATCAATAAATAAATAAATAAATAAAACCCACCTGAAATTTGATGCATAGTTTCTAATCCAGCTCCTCCTTAAAAACCCATCAAGGAATCAGTCATTCCAGGACTCTGGATTCCTCTGCTGCAGAAAACACAGCAAAACAAGAACAACCCATGAATCAGGAATCAGAATAACACAGAACCCCAACAGAGCTCGAACATAAATAAATGTATAGGCATTTTGGAAATACCATGAAAAAAAAAGCATAAAACGATGAGGCTTCGGATCCGCTGGGCCATTTTCTCTAAGAAGATTTTAGAGAGAGAAAGAAGGGGAGAGAGAGAGAGAGAGGGGGGGGGAGAAATAGCAGATAAGAAAAATCCACAGAAAACAACGAAACTTACATGAGAAGAGATATGAGAGTTGTCCACACCCAACAAAGTCTCTCCCTTTCTCAATTTTCTTGTGTTTGTTTTTGGATTTTTGAGCAAGTGGGTTGGCATTGTCTTATGAGGCTCTAGATTCTCTCACCATTTCTGTTCCCGGAAAAGAAGAACCAAAAAAAACCATATATTTAATATTTATCTTCAAAAGTATTTGGGATTCAATAAGACAAACACTCCACCAGCACTCTGCAAACCGGATTTTACTGCAACCAGCAGACACACAACCACTTATTAGTTTTTAGACTATTATTTTCCTAATTTAATTAAGAATTTAATACAAGTTTTTATTTTTTCATTAGTTATGAATGGGTAGTACTTAGGTTTAAGACACGTTTGCAAGTGTTTTTAAAAGCATTTTTAAAAGCATTTTTGGCAAAATTTTAACCAAAAATACTTTCAAACAAATTCTTAGACTTTAGACCACATATCTTTAATCACATACAATAATAATGTGACACATATCCTCTTGTTTTGTGATAAGACGATATTCACTATCCTAACTATGGGAAGGAGAATTTGAACTCGATTGCGAGAGGCAGACATATTATTCTAGTCAACTAGACTATCTCATGTCTATAAATATTCTATCTTGTTATAAAAAAAAAACAATGAACATGCTATTAATTGCTATCAGGCAGACACATGTGTTGCACTATAACTGACTAATTCTATTGGGTAAGAAGACACGATTCTAAATTTGTCAGGTATCAAGTATGATCCGTTAGCAGTGGGCGCGTAGAAATTTCCGGATAACAAGGAAAACTCTCGTGACTCATTTTTATGTTGGATGTTAGCTTTCAAAATAAACTTGTATCTTATTTATTTGTAATAAGAAAATTTCTGAATCGAAAGAGGTCGTAAATAGTGAAAGAGAAGAAATGGAAATAAGATCAACTATTTTTCTGTAATTCCTATGTTTTGAGGAATTGCATTAAGAATTGTTCGTGGAATCAACATATTTTTTAAAGGCTCGTTGATCCCGTTTCATTTGCAAAGGAGACTCTCTCAAAAGTGTTTTGTTGAAAATATAGTTTATTTTTTTTCACAAGTAAGGTAAAAACTGAGATTGCTAAGAAGATTCTTTCAAAATTAGGATTCTCCATGTACTCTCTATTACCTCGTATTTGTTGCACAATACTTTATAATATAAACACGTAAATTTTTATAATAAAATCATACGCATGAAATTTTTATAATAATTATGAATTTAATTGGGAAGTGCATAGGTCTCACCGTGTAATTATGTTCTGCCTTGAAACTGTGATTAGTGTGATTTGCCTTGAAACTGTGATTAGTGTTAATACATGAACCAAGATACTTTTTGGTGCCAACAAAGGCAAATTTGTATTCAGGGTCTTTGTCATGTTTGTATTTCTTTCCACACATCTGTTTACATGTATCTCTAAATACTATTTTAATTTTCTGACAAAAAAAAAAGTTTTAATTTATTAAACTCAAAAGTAGAAAATAAACGTAAGTATATAACGGGAAGAAACGAATGTGCAGAGATCATTCTCACTTGTGTTTGTGTGAGTAGTTTTGATTTTTTATTTTCAAATTATGTTGCCAAATATGACAATCTAATCAATCAAATCATGGAGAGGTTTTTTAATGTATCAGAAATACAGCTCAGTACATCAAATGTCATAATATAAATGTTTGGATACTTAAAAATAAATTTCAACTTTTATGGAGTAGGATTCTCTCCCATTCTCTCCCCTCCTCTCACACTTTTTATTTTGTCTTTCTCTTTCTATATAAGACATTGACGTGACTTAATTATGACGGTTCAAATAAGAAGGGAGTGGAGAAAGAAAAAATACAAGGAGAGAATCCTACTCCTATTTTTATTATGACATTTGTGTGTGTACTGGGCCCAAACTGAAAAATTTATTGTAACGATGATTGTTTAGTAATGGTAATGACCAATTCCTTGAGGGCGATAAATTTTTAGTTTGCTTAAAAGAGGGGTGAACACTACATATCATTATATTAGTGGAGAAAAATTTTATTTTTCAAATGTCATTTCACTTGTATAATGACTGAAAATGATCCTCGTTTTGGGGATTATAGGAATTTTATGATTGTGACCGTTTATCGTACTTCGTGCGGTCAAAAATCATTTCATAATTTAAAATTTAAAATTAAATATAAATAGTACGTAACGAAAACTAACCCATAATGTACGGTAAATGATCACGATCACGGGATCCCTATGATCCCCATGAAAATGGATCCTTTTCCGTATAATGACATATGGAGGCACATTGAAAATCTGTGCTCGAGGAACAACTGACACGGCAAAGATGTAATTATAACTTTAATAAATTAGTTACAAGGTTTCATCTCATGAAAAAACTTCAAATCAAAGAAATAAACACTAATTAAAATATGCAATAAAAAATTGTAAAATATGTAACATAAAAATTGTAATAAACAATAATTAGGTTCCATTTTGAAAGAGCTACATGACATTGACAATGGGAATAATCAAGCACTAAATACTTTACTTTAAATGCTCATTGGAAAATTGTTTGTTTGAAGTCAAGATTCTTCGAAATTGGTCAATATGATATCACCAACTTGTACGCAAAGAAGCTATAATACCCCCTCCTCGTGACAAAAAGTGACAAAGCATTTGTAAAACTAAGGTTCTAAAAGTGGCTTAGTGTCTAGGCGTTTTGGCCGACAGGAGACTAGCCTAAGCGTCTCAGTGGGCAGAGTCTAGCGTTTAGACGGTTTTGTATAGAGAGACTTAGTGCGATGACAAGTGCCTTCGCCCATGAGCGGTAGGTCTCGGGTTCGAGACTTGGGAGCAGCCTCTCCATAAATTGGAGTAAGGCTAGCCGACATTCACCTCTCCCAGACCTTACTAAAAGCGAGAGCCTTGTGCACGGGGTACTAGTTAAATTTATTATATAACATATAAATATTTAAGTATGCTTAAAAATACATAATTATATATGCGATACATAAATTACAAAATAAAATAATATATAGATTATAAAGTATTAAAAAATAATATTAAACAAGTTTCTTGTAATTTATTAAAATATAAAATACAAAATGAAAGTCTTCTATTTGTTGTCTAAGTGAAAGTCACGATATAGGCGGGTCTAGGTAGGTTAGGTGGGTGCTCTTTCTTAATTTCAAATGCCTAGAGATTAATTAGGGCAAATTTTTTAAAACAATGTGTAAAACTTGTGGATAAATTTTAAACCTAAATGAGTTGACATTTCTTTATTTTAAATTATGACAATGGGATAATCTTTTTCAAACGAAGCAACTTGCAGCTCAAGCAGTTAAAAATATTTATTTAGGTTCGAAGTTCAATTTTATTCAGTTCTCTTCTCTCTATTGTCGCTTGTAGCAAATAAACGTACCAAATAGCTATATCTTTTTTATGATTAATAGGTGGTGGTCCTCTAATTTCCAACCCAAAACATATTTATTTTAGTTTTATTTTTCTTCATCATCTTGTCCATGATTCATTTCATGAACCATAGCTACGGAAATGAATCGCCTTTTTGAAAATAACAAAACTTATGAGCCTAAATTGTAAATAAACTACAATTGAGGTGGGGGTGGAGAAAAAAGAATCTTCCGTATAAATTGGTTCAGCATGTACGCATTGCGGCGAAAATTCTGTGGTGGGCCCCTTATGCTGTCATCCTTTTCTTTATATGATTTTTCTCCGTCCAATCCCGATGTTGACGTTCTGGGGCCTCGATCTTCCAATTTTATTTTACTATTTTTTTTCGGAATTAGATCCTCTCCTGACCACAAGCTCAAAAGCCTCCTCACCAGCGCACGTGGTCAATCCAACGGTTACAAACAGAAGATTCATCTAAAAGTTATAATAATTGTAGTTGTTAGATCAAAATCCAACGGCCCTCCTGAGCTTGTAGAGGATCCAATTCCATTTTTTTCTTGAAGAATATTTGACTATTCAAAGATAAGTAGAAACTTTTATTCAAATTTCACAAAATTGTTCGTTGTCAATTTATAGAATTTCGTGTTTATAATCAGAACCAATCATATTATAAAATACCCTATAAAGATCGCATCAGTAAAAAATTAATTAAAACTAAGGTCATTAAGTCATCAAATTGTTTAAAACAAATGAACGATATTGGTAAAAGCGTTACGAACCGTCTATGTATTTGCTACAATAGATTGACTAAACGACCTTAGTTTTAATATTTTTTTGCACAGATGATCTTTACAGTGTGATTTATAATATGAACGGTTCTGATCATAAGTACAAAAATTGTGATTAAAACACTAAGAGTTTTGAGTATGAGTTTCTACTTATCTTTGAGTAGTCAAGGATTGTTATTTATTCTTACAACATAATTACAAAATTACCCTTTGATTTTGCTAATTTACTACATTGTCCCTCTTTGGATGTCACTTTCCCGGGTCTCACTTTCATATGTCTGCCGTGAAGATTAAAATAGTATTTTCAAACCAAAAGCAATCTCATATTTTTGTCTTTTGATTTTGGAAGTTGCTGCTGACATTATCAATATTCATCCTCCGTTCTTAATATGTTGAAAATTAAAGGAGTATAAAATGTTTCGAAGCGTCAATAATAATTTTCTCTTTTTTTATGGCTGGAAAAGTTATAGTAGCTCAACTTGTCAACGTAAAAGAATACTTGTTTGTAGTGGCGGATGCATTGAGGGGCAGAGGGGTTAGCTGACCTCCCGAATTTTGATGAACATTCATAGATACTGTGGGTGCTGACTCTCTGAACTTCAATAAATGTCTATGAATACCTTGGGTGTTGCCATTTTGAAGATTAGAGTTGGCTTCATACATGCCCTCGAACTGTTTGATAAAATATCTGAAAAAAGAGTGAATGAAATGGTGATTTCAGTAAATAACAAAGCATCATCATTCTTCGACAAACATATTAATGAGATGCAATGATATCAAACATTGTTAGCATGTTCAATATAAGTGTGTTTATTTGTTAAGCATTTATATGGGAGCAGCCTTGGAATATGTTAGTTACCCTCACAAATGAAGCATTAAAAGATGTGCAGTATGCCTTTCCAAATAACATTAGATCTACCAAGACTCAATGAAATGACAATATGCATGTCATTTCTAGTAAAAAAAATTGTGCGCCGCAAG